GGGGCTCCACCCGAGGCCTCACACTACATTCTTGGTGGAGATGGGCCCCTTCCGCCACCTCCCAGACTTGGCCTCGCACTTCCCAGATGGTGTCCATTAGCTGGGGGAGCGGATGTTCAACATCCTCTGGCTGGGGCAAGGATACTTAAAAAAGAAGGTTGAATAGTATCCGGGGTTCCTGGCCGAACATCACACGGAATGGCGTTTGCTGGGTTGAAGTGTGTGGAGTGGTGTAGTATGTGAACAGCGCAGAGCTGCAAAACGCACCTTCCCAGGAGGATGTAAAGGGGAGATGTTTACTCTGGCCTTTGGAGACAGCTAGCAATTGCAGGTTAAAAAATGTCGTATGCCATGGTATGAAAGAAGTCACAAATAATTCACTAAATTCCAAAGGATGTAGAAAATAAACATATACTCATTGAAAACTTAATATATATTGAAACGATATTATAATTTCAACTTGCAACCCGCACAGTATCCACTCACATTTGACGCAAGATAAGGACTCGGTCGCCCAAGTAACCACAAAAGGCAGCCAAGAGGTGAACCAACACAAACAATTGTCCAAGCTCTGCGGGCCCCTCATAAAGATCTGTTCAGCCAATTAATGAGTGTTTTTAGATGTGCAAGGTAACAAACAAACAAAAAACAGGAGCACTTTGAGAAAACCCAAGGATGCGAGAGGTCAACACTGCGTCTTCCACATTTCTGCTCTACTGCCATCTCCTGGCAAGCTACGGTATGGCAGCTCAACCTCCACGCAAAAAGTGAGTTTCACAACCAACCCTAATGCCACTAGCAACATACAAGCAAGTGTGGTTGAAACATTTCATCTAACAGGCCAATCAGGTACTCGTTGATGCTTCTCTGATATTCCACTGGTGCTGAACTTAGTACAAATTGGATTCTCACCCATTCATAATGTCCCCAGGGAGTGATACAAGCAGTTATGGGTCGACTCTTCTTGTCCAGAAACCCTTGATGATATGCCGTTACCCTATAGCGAGTCCAACATTTCCTGAATCCTTGGTATTGGGTGGAAATCTGGTACTGGTTTTCTGTTTGATTCCCAGTAGTTGCAGTACAGCCTCAGGCTTCCATCCTTCTTCCAGATGCATACCACTGGTGTGGAGTTTGGTGATTATGATGGGGTTACCCATTCTCTGTTGATCAGGTCCTGTAAGTACTCATTCACTTCTTGGTGTATTGACTTGGAATGAACATGTCAGCCCTCTGAACTGGTGTTGCATCATTCAGTGTAATGTGCATGCTCAGAGATGGGATGCATCTGATATCATTGTCGTCATAGGCAAACGCATTACATTCCTTCCTCAGCATCTGTCTCACCAAACGTCCCTCTCTAAAACCATCGGCGGCAAGACCTCCCAGACTCTATGGTCTTCCCAAGATCCATAAAGAAGGCACCCCGCAACCGTGACGATGGGTACAAACTTAGTAATCATTGGAAAGATGTTGTTAACCATGCAAAAAAGATTTAACTACACATATTTGGAGCATTCCTGGCAGCGATTTCAGCCGCACCACCTCTACATAATAATAGGCTCAGTCAACCATTCTACACAACAAAGACTAATTTCCTGGCAGCGATATCAGCCGCATCATCTCTACATAACAAAAAGGCTCAGTCCCTTTTACATGCACCTTTACATCATCCGCACCTAGTTTACACAACAAAGGCTCTTTCCTAACAGCGTGCTTCAGCCGCACCGAACCTCACAAAAATAATATTCAGGGCCTACCTTGGCTCCTCCCACCCTCAACCAGTATATATAAAAATACGGTTTTTCTTGGAATTTCTCTCACTTGATACAGCTATCGTGCTGTGACTGTTCCACCTCAAGACGGAAGCTTGTGTTGCCTCGGAAACGTCGTGATTTTTATTTTATTTTTATTTTACTTTTTATTAATTTTTTACCTACGTGACTTTACCGAAAAAACCTAAGAATATGAATCCTTGCAGTCACGAAAGCTTCAAATCTAGAATCCCCTACAACCCTTCAGTGTTCTCCACACCTGTGGTTCCAAACTGTCTACATATTGGCCTATCTTTGCCTCTTATCGCTGCGCAGAACATTTTCTTCAGCTCCGACACCTCAGCCATCCACATCTGAGTATCTGGAAGTGGGTGCTCCTACTGTTGAGGCACCTTCCAGGAAATCCCAAAAGTCTCAGCCCCAGCTTGTTTTGTCGGGGTTGTCTTATTCGACTCAACTAAGTCTCCACAGTTTCATTGATGACCTCTCGACGAATCTTCCATGTGCCGTCCGCTCATCCATGGACTCTATCCCTCAGCTAACTTCCTGAGCTTGTGCTGCCTTTTGGCTTCCAATTTTGCAGCTTCAATTATATTTTTAAATAACGTACATGGTGTTCATAATTGACAAGTCAATAACAATACAGTACATGTTGCTTTAATGTTTGTTGTAGAATGATTTATGGTACTGTATCTGATTACAATGGTTCATATTAAAGAGTGTATCAAGTTTATTTAGTTCACAAAGGTGGTAATGTTGAGTTATTGTTATGAGAATTAACATAGTGAAGAATGTTAACATTGGTTAATACTGTTAATAATATTTTTTGTATCTTTATAGTACATAAGTGGGTAAATAGGGGACTGTAAATGGACAATCGTATTTTGACGGGAAATAACTTGTTTAAATTAACTATAACCATTAGGGGCGCTAAGTGAAGCCTGTTTCAGAGGGGAGCAATGGCGACGCACATGTGCTGTGACGTACGCTGAGAGCTGAACGTGGCATTCTCTGGACAGATTTCAAGTTGGAGTTGGAGAATAAAAGTGAATCTACCCTGGAAAGTCTTCACGTACATCGTTGCGTGCATGTCAACCTCTGAGATAATTTACAAACTCATTGTAAAATAATGAAAGTGCAGCCACCGAGCTGGACTTAAATACTCTTGCAGTTTGAAAGTGCTACGTATTCACTAAGGATACAAGAGGTGAGAGAGCAGCAGAGAGTGGCACCAGAATAGAAGATGTGGTAGTATTTGAGTCGACAAGATTCTAGTTGCTGAAAGGCTGTAGGGCAAACTAAAGTGTGGACTATGTAAAAGAGTTTATGTAACTACATTTGTTTACCTATGCAAAAGGAAGGTGAATACATGTCAAGTTTCTTGTATTTGTATTGCTTAATACATTAATCAGTTTTATTACTCACATGTTTGCTTGTGCACACATGATTATTTTGCCCATGACAAGTATTTCAACTAATAATTAACTCAGGACATTACTATAGATTTCCAAAGGTTTATCTGCAAACAGTTTAGTCTACCCATGGATAGTCAGAGCTAACTGTACTCGTTTGTAAAATTGTCTCCTGTGCATGAGGATCTTTCTCTCAATTGAGTGCAGGGCTGACGGAGAGCTCAGTGATGCTTTCGGAGAGAGCGAACTCTTGGCCGAGACCACTGACAATATTCTGGAATAGCTGGCAGCTGCTTGACAGCGCCACCAGAGCCTGTGGGGAAACAACAATTATCTACACTGTTCGCAAACACAAATTACAGCCGTGAACAAAAACCACAACATTTAGCACAATCCAAGACTGAAACCACCAAATACAATGCCACGAAGAGACAACAACCATTAACCACAAAACTAACCATATCCATCCATATCCAACCATGACCACAACTGCCGAGTACAACCGCAACCAACAATCACGGAGACACCATAAAACACAAACACCAACTACAATAACGACAAAATGTATCAACTTGAGGGACTTATCCCAAATTTAAATTACTTAATTGGGAAACACCTGGCAAATATCACCCTCTACAATTAAAACTTAGCAGGGCTTTCCTGAAAAGTAGTTTAGACTCGTTGTCGCTCCGTTGGGTAAAGAAGCGAAATACAGTTTAACACGTAGGCTTTCGCGACCAATAGCATCCATAATCCAGCTTTTTTTGGGTTAGATCGCGTAAATATATATTTAAGCGTAATACAATTGTTCAAATTATGAGCAGCATTCCATGTGAAGGTTGGCTGGGGCTGTTGCCTCTGGAAGGTGAAATTTGAGAGCTTGCAAAAAGGTCCAGACGGAATTTCCTGTAAAAGGGGTCCATGAGCGCAGATGGTCAAATACTCACGGAATTGCACGAGTCCAGTCACAGCTTGTATGCCTGACAATCGATTATCAGCCTTAACTCATAACTCGCTCCAATATGTAATTCTTTTGAGGGTCACAAGGCGATTATAAACACAAGTTAAAAGTTAATGGTAGTTAGGATATAGCAAGATCAATGCAGTACTGTACTACAATTCTACGTTTTAAAAAGGAAATTCAATGTATGAAGTAAATTGTCAAAAGTATTTAAAGGTAAGATGTAATCAAGTCAAAGGCAAAACTCGTAAAATACATAATTCATTTCCAGCTAACCGAAGGCAGTCTCGAGCTTAGGAGAATGTATAAAAGTCTACAATCATTGCCAAACTACAGTCTATAGAATTACATGGCTAGAGCATTTAAGGTACTCATGATATAGGAATCAAGGAGGGTGGATAACCCTCCATAATCAGGTTCAAGTTACTCTTTCTTGTACTTGCTGGGTGGGTGGTCCGGCACTTAGTGACATCGCTTCTAATGAAACGTGGTTAGAAAAAGATCAAAACAGACTCCGTGCACAGGTAGCGGGAGAGAATATCATTCAAATTAATTGAACTATATACACTAAGCTGATCTATGTGTTACAACTGGTGTCATTTTAAGACGACCATGAATACATTTTACGTGATTCTGACAGATTGATGTAAATTCCTTGTAGCTTTATTAGAAACCACTCACAAATGCAGTTAACAGCCCAATGTGTTTTGTGCCAACATTTGAATGCAGTGTATGCATTACTCCCTCTGTGTGTCCAGAGCGAGAGCCACTCCCCCCCCTTGCTTTTGATTGCTCAGTGGCTGAGGTTTTTGCCTGGCTTTCATTTTGGGTGCTATAATACCAGAGGTCTTGCGCTGGAATGTAAGCCAGTACTTTTACAACGCTGGGCTGACTGAACGCAAGGTACAATGGCTCCAGCTACCAGATGGGCGATCTGCTCAGCTGGAAAGATCAGCCACGACTTTGTGGTCGCATTGAGAACCCTGCCTGCTGATGAGCATGAGGTACATTTGCTTTTTACGAAAAAGTACTTCTATATTGCCTTGGTAATCTAAATGTAGTGTAAAACTAGCGTTGGAGTCTATGGTACGTATCCCTCGTGATTGCAAGCTGCTTGTTTAAACACGAATTGTTTCTATCATTGCAAATTCAATGTCATGATGGCAATGGCGTGAACAATGCAAGATCAACGCCAATTTAGTGTATAACTCTAGGGTACGTGTAGAGTATATCTGTAGAGTTTTGTGTTGAACTATTGTTTTGCATGCAAATATGTTATGTACATGTGGTGGAATACACAAAAGCATATGCATGTAATCAGAGTTCTTTTTTTTATAATGCTGAGAACAGAGTTCATATAAGCATGAGTTTTGGTACTCGCATTTTGCATTTCATATTAAATAATTTGTTCATGCTGCTGCTGCGTTTGCAATGGTGCACAGCAGAAACTCAACATAACCGTCAGCAATACTGTGACCTAAAAAAAGAATATTTCCTAGGTGACGTTTCGGGCAATGGCTCTTCATAGCACGTACAATATTTGTTTAAATGCATTTTAAAAGGTGTCAATGTGTTTAAGGGTAAGGATGTTTAACGTGTTAACAACATGTGGTCGGAATGCAGTGTTGGAGAAACATAACTTTTGCAAACTCGACTTGTTTATGAAAGGAATGTTGGAGGAAGAAAATGATTAACAGCGTGAGGTATAGACTAAAGGCGAGCTCAAAAACAATGGTAGCAATAGTTAACTTTCGGACATTGTGTGAGGATAAACATGAGGCACATGAATAGGGTTAACCCGGGAGCACGTTTATTTATGATTCATGACCAGGAAATAACGTTGACTAAAATAATTTACATGCAGTGCAAAGGCGGGTTGAAGTGACGATGTGCATTGTCATCGAGTATAAAAAATGTGTTGCAAGGCTGAGATACACAATGGTGACCGTTAGTCGGGGCATTTGTGCGTACACATGTTTTCATATATATAATACATTTACATTTGTCGAACGTTATTGTTTTGCGTGAACGTTTGGAGAATGCGCAGTCGCCTATAATCCTGCGCTTACACCGGGACCTGAGTACCGAACGGCCTTCGCAAATCCATACATTGCGGAGGGTACGACCCGTAAACTTACGCACGGTCAGGAGCAGACTTACTTCGGCCATCACGTTGACACACACACAAATAAGTAATATTTAAAAAAAAAATTTAACACGCTTTAATGAAATGTACCATACTAGCAATGTAAGAACTCCACGACTCTAGGAAGTGGCCCCGAAGCTTGCCATAACGTCAGGGAGCGTGGTCAATTACAGCCAACATCAGTTGAGCGTGGACAATTAGACCCAAGCCGAAACATAACATGTAAAAAAAAGAATGTAAAAAATGTTTTAATGATATAATATAGTATTGTCATCAGTATGGCATAAGTATATAAAGTTTGCAGTCGATACCACATTGGGAAGTGGGTTAAAACTGAGTTACAAGATTTGAGGATACAACAACAACAGACAGAGTGAGTTAAATAAAAGCGTGTAATAATAAAAAGAGACAAAGATTTAAAGCTTTCGTAACTGCAGGGATTCATCTTCTTGGTTCTTTCGGTAAAGTCAACTTTACCGAAAGAATCAAGAAGATGAGTCCCCTCTTTGTTTTACTGATTCCGTTGCGTACGGCGCGTGCAGCTAAGAAAGGGGAAGAGAGGGGGAGAACGAGGGCGCCGGGCAAAGGGTTGAGATAACTCGGTCAGAGTCCCGATCCGAGGAAGGCAAGAGGGGGTAAGTGGACATGCGCCCCATTGTGCCTCTGAAAGAGGCGCGCAAGTCGGGGTGGAGGGAATCATCGGACACGTTGGGTTCCCAGACACGTGCGGGGGGGGGCGGGTCTTATCCGGGTCTCCTCGCGGGTCCGTGGCTGGAGGTGTAAAGGTCGGTGGGGTGGCGAGGGAGGGGAGGGGCTTTAACTCTGTGGGAGGAGGAGGCGGGGTCATGAAGGAGGTCGCGGATGAGTCGGGGTGAGAGTAAGTAGAGAGGGCGGCCACTCTGGGTCACTGGGTGCCCAATGTTCTCCGCTTGGAGTGTCCTCTCCACCAAGCTCAATGTTGGGTAGCCCCTGGACCGCACAACCACGCCGAGCCATTAATGCCTTCTCTGCTGGCTGGCCGAAGGGATTCTAACCCCCCCCCCCCCCCCCCCCCCATTTTCGCGGGTCTGATAATCATCCCCATTTCCCCCGTATAGCCTTTAACAGACTGTTGGGGCGAGTGCTGTTAGCGAGCACCTATGAAGGCCTGCAGGGCACACAAGGTGGTGGGTGGCCAGCACCACGCCAGCTTGCTTTGTCTACCCAGTTGGCGATGTTAACACACCGCACTAGGTACTCATTTTAAGCTGAGTCAACCTAGGGGAGGCCCAAGATCGGTTCTGACAATCGTCACTCGTGTTGGCCGTGAGCGAGAATAGAATTCGAGTCGCCGGTTTAGTAGCACAGCGCGCTAACCGCTCCCCACACTTTCATAAACACATGCATCCAGCCCCCTATTGCCCCCCTCCTGCAGTTAAATGTACTCTGTCAATTGTCATTGATATGACAAAATTGATACTCCACTTGAAAAGTTGCAATGGAAGTACAAGTTTCGAGTGGTGGCAGCACTGTTTCCTCCAAGCATACATTCCACACATTAAGACCGCACAGATTTGGATGGGGTCAGTTCAGGACAGCTGCGGCACTTGGCAGGGGGTTTATAGGAGAGGACAAAATGTTCCAAACGCTGATAGAGGGAGGTGGGGGGGCTTTAACTAAATATACAAAACAGCCAACACATTCAGCAATGACATTCAACAAATTCGTAAAAAGAAATTATAATAGCCAGCGTTTCGGGCAATGGCCCTTCAGAGCACGTGCATGAATTATCATTGCCAGAAACGTTGCCTATTATACATGTTTTACATTTAAGGTCACAGTGTTATTGACAAATGTGAGCTTTGTTAGTTGTGCTTTGTGCACCGCTGCCAACACAGTATTACCAATGTTTTATTAATCTACAGATACAACTATAGCGATGGTTTTGGCAGAATTTACCAAGGAGACAGTGTAAGGGTTAGTTGAGGATCTACAAGGTTATGGAAGAAAGGCGGAGTCAGGAGAAATAAAAAAAACAGGAAACTGTAAAGAGGCTCTGTCCTGGGTCGTTGTGTTGAAGATAGCCATGAAGATAGCCCACTCTGTGCAGTGGGAAGGCGCCTGTCAACTAGCAACTGTGTAGCAGAGGGGAGATGCCTGCTCGGTAGAGGAGTGTGTGCATTATCAGGAGATGTTTGCAGACAGAGGACCCAAGGAAAGGTCATATCGGCTCGAGTGTGTGTGTGATGAGATAACGAATCAGGCTGAGGATAGAGCAATATGGGTATGGGTCATGGCACAGATAAGTGTGTGTAAATATGCCAATAACCACACGACGATGTTTATGTAAAACAGTGATTTATTTAACAGTATGCTATGTTATATTGGCTATCGATAAAATCAATTTTTTATAGAATGTCCTGTGGCGACCTTTAGTCACGACACAAGATTTGTGTGTACATTTATCCCCCAATTCTTATTTATTTCTTTTCAGCCCCCCCCCCCCCCCGCAAATAAACCCGTCGCGACTTGTATAAGTAGTCGATATATCAGGCCACGTTGTTTTGAAGACAGAATGTACATTCAAAATGGAACAAAAGGTCAAGGCATGTACTTTGGCATCGTGCCTGAGGGGGGGGGGGGGGGCAAAAAAATCGCCACATTCGTTTTTACAAAAAACAATTGGCAATGACCATACTGCACAGCAGAGGGTTACTTAAGGACAGCATTAGCAGCAGTGATGCACATGCACAAAACACTTAACCCTTTTGTTGTTACCACTGCCTTGTGACAGAAAATACTTTGTATAGGACCATTGTTCTGAACCTCAGAGGTATATTTTAGTTTTGTTTAAGTCAGTGATAATAATACTGTTCATGGATTGAGTTTATATGGAAAATAAGACTTCAGGGAAGACGAAATCCGAAAACAAACTGCTCTTGTGGATACATAATTAGGCTGTACGTTTAGGGCTGTCTGACAAGTATTTGAAGCAAAAGTAATTTCCATAACGACTTCGGTCACTGCTTCATTTGTCCTCAACGTGTAGCCACTCGCTTTTGTTCAGCTGACTCTTGTAGAATGCAGGTGGCTCAAAACGCTTCCCGAAAATCGACAGAACTGGGACATGGGCAATCCCACGTGAGAGCGACAAGCATCGCTGTTGCTTGTGGTGTAGCATTGTTGAAATACTAAACGTATGTTCTAAACTGTTATCTAGTACTAGCCTTTTTCCCATCCAAGGACGGGTGTATTGCAGTAAATCTGAAACTTGCGAAAAGCAGACTGCGACGTGATATTCATTGCATTAATGAGTGTGTAATTTGTAGGGCGTAGAGACACATACCTATTTGATTTTAAGGTTATAATCCCATGTTCATCATGACGTTCTGGGGGGGGGGAGGGGGTATCCATTTGGAGGACATCACCTGTTAATGATTATTAATGAGGGTGGGGGTCCATGTGGAGAACGTAACCTGTTCAAGAGTATTAATGAGGGGGGCTGGTCGATGTGGCACGAGCGTTAAGAACATTCCTGGGTGATTATAGTAGGTATACGATATATTTTACTGTGTAAAGTTGCATAAAGTTCAGGAGTCCAGTCTTCAGGAGGAGCCCAGTCAGTGTTATATTACAAAATAGCATAAGCTCCGTGTATCTCGAGCCAATTTTCCGATGCCTAAAACACAGAGGTGTGTTAATATCTATCTCATAGTGCTGTTGTGTTAAATTAGTTCATGTAATTGTCACTGCAGTTTGAACAGGGTGTAAATGTGGCTGCCAGTTTAGGAGTCTTGAGAAAAATACTGAGTTGTAGCTTTCATTATATAATCAAGCATAGCAGACAAATTGCGTCAGTTATGGGCATGCCAACCGATT